ACGAGATAGTATTATGGAAGCTGAGGCAGTCGAAGCCATTGCTTTCGCGTTGACTATTCATAATGATAGACAGCAAATAGCGCTTTTCCGACCTTCTACCCATTTACTAATAAAAGACGATGAACTACATTGCTAATTAGTAAGAGGAATACAATGGCACACTAATCATTGAAGTCGGTTTGGATGACCTGGGGTGCTTCCCATAAAAGTCCAATCAATAAATCGGTCTTACTTTCCAACTAAAGCTGGTTAAAATTTCTTAATAAGCTTTTTAAATAAAAGTTTACTTTCGATTGATAGCAATATTGACTAGCAAGCGAGTTATATTGAGTAAAAACGAATTGAAAATTTTTTCCTTTACAAACGTGTCTGTCAATTTTAGAAAGATGAAGCAACAGTACACTTCTTGCATTGCCAATCGAACTAAAGAAAAACCTATCCAAAAGTTGGGAAAATAGCGTATCGTCTGTGCAAAGTTTCGTCCCAAACTTCAAGAAAATGTAGCATCTATTATTAATATTAACATTTAAAGCCATGTTAATCTTGAAATGCATTGATTCCTTTAAGAATCAAAGTCAAAGTTCAAAGTCAACTGTTTATTATATATAACTATATAACTATATATAATATATAACTATTTATCTAACAGAAAAAGGTGAAAAATTGTTGAGCTCTAAACTGGAAATGCATAGAAATCAAAGAATGCTGTAAAAGCTCAATGAAACCTCATTATTATTGTGTACAAAATAAATTGCCAATTATACCTTTTAATGCATAAAATTAACGTTTCAATTAACTTTTTATCCTGCAGGTTATGAAGATGTTGATTGTTGTTGTCGCTTTATTTGCTCTCTGTTGGCTTCCATTGCAAACTTATAACCTACTTAAGGACACAATACCAGAGATTAATACGTAAGTATCTTGTATCAAAGTCTTGTAAGATTATTGGTGAAACATCATGTAAGCCTTGGAGTGAAAAAGCATATTCAATCCAGAATTTACTTGAAATGAAAAAGTTTTTCTTCTTTTGTTGAAACTTGTTCTCTCATTCAAGGATTGTAATACAAAAATGGATTGAAATGTTAAACCTTTTGCACATTTGTTAATTCCATTAATTTCAACTGTTAACATGATAATAGAATGAATTTTTTACTTCGTTTTCTCATTAATATTCAATTCTTAATTGGATTATTTTCGCCATTATTTTTAAATTCGTTAATTCTTCTCTTCTTTCAGATTTCGTTACATTAATGTCATTTGGTTTTGCTGTCATTGGTTAGCTATGAGCAATTCATCTGTTAATCCTTTCATCTACGCTATTTACAAGGTAACAATTGATCATTAATATCATTAGATAATCGTTTTTATCATTTTTTGTTCTGTCCATTCACAGATTTCATCTGATTCATCGCGCCAAGAATAACTTGTCTACAATTGAAGAGTCATCATGTCCGTCCTTGACTTGGAATTGATTAAAATTGATAATAATTCTTACTTGTTAAATAAGCCAATTTGTACAGTTAAATATTCAACAAAAGCATTAAAACAAGAAAATTGCTGATAATTATTATTACATGCAAAAATAAAAGTTCAGTTATTGAACGGAATTCATTGCATGAACATTTGTCCAAAATATGTTTATATTATATTAATATATTATAGAAGCTGTCGTTTCATGTCAAAAAGTTTAATTTCAATTTGGATTCAATTTCGTTGGGAAACGATGCATAGAAATTGAATTTGCTTAACAAGGCACGAGAAGAAAGTAGTTTAATTGAAAGTTCCAACTATTAATAGATTTTGAGATGCGAAGGACATGATGTTTTGGTGAATGTCAAGGGTTGAAAGATACATGAAATATACGATATTGATACAAGATATTGAAAAGTATTAAGTGCGGTTCGGTTTGACTGTGTATTGTAACCTTTATTGGTTCAAACATTATTAAGCCTTAGTTAAAGTTTAAAATTAAAGGTTCCAAATAGTATTTCGTCTTCTCAGTTTTTTGGATTAAGTTCGAGAGATCTGCTCAAAACGAAAATCTTTCGCAATACTTTTAGGCAATTCTCATTTCGTTTAGACCTTTTCTATCTAAATTGCTGTCAGTTTAACGAATCATTAGCTCAACTGTTTTTTAGTAATTGCTTGTAAATTGTTGGATAAAATTTGATAACAGTGCTTTTTAAACCAAACTCGATCTATTGATATGTAAATCACGAGAATGTATTTCTTGATGAGTAGTATAAATAAGTGATCTGAGGTATTCCTCACTGGAATGACAGTTATGGCGACTGTATTTCCGATTAGAGTAGATGAAAACAAGTAGAGTAAAGAAGGAAATCAATTTGTATTAATGGCTTCTTGTTAGTCGCCATCCAAGGATTATTATGATTTTGTCGTTAAAACCAATTCACATGAATCATTGATAGATGTTAGCTCTTTGAGATTTTCATAGGAATAACGGCAGCAGAGTACTCTCCTGTCAGCAAAAGAAAATAGGTTCAATTGCTTGAATTCCTCCAATTTTAAGTTCTCGTCTTCCTGAGCAAACGGTAATTGGTCAAGACAGCAAGAGACAAACGAGCAAATCGGCTTTTATAACCAATTAATTGATCGAAAAGTTCAGTACCGAAATAGAAAGTTAGTTTAAGCGCACAAAGGGCGATCATTGGACAGATTGAAAAATTTCATTACCGATAATTTTCAAAATCACATTCAAATTGAAACTTCGATTGCAGTTATGGGTAAATAAAGTGAAAAAAGTTTAAACGGTAAAATGGTTTTCAATTATTCGATAAATTTTATGAAAAGCGTAAATTGAATTGGTTTAACTTTTTGATATTTTCCCTTTGCTAGTTTGACTTTTGCTGCTTTGAACCCAAATCTGTTTTGAGTTACTTACTACACCAGTAGATGGCAGCCCGTTGACCAATACTCTAAGGCAACATCTTATGTTAAACCAAATATAATTTTTCACAGTTTGCCGTTTCTACCTAACTGATAAAAAATTGATGAACCCAGAATATTTAGATTTGTTCAGACCTGGGCGTACCATTGGAAGAATGCACAACCCTGGAGACAGAGATGGGCATTTTATTTCTATTTTGTAGTAAATTGAATTTTTTGAACGCTACGCTCGTCAAGCGATGAACAAAACTAAGGACTGAGAAACCAAGTCACTCACAATTATCAGGCTTATGTATAAGCAAGATGAACCACTTAAATAACGATGATTACATAGTAACTCAATACTGAACAACAGATCCCAATAAAATTATTTATCAAAATGAACGATTCAAGTTTAAAGTGAAGTTTGTTTGATTAGACATCTCATGACCGATTGGCTGCAATTGAACCCGTTTGTATGCCATTCCTTCAACCGAATATAATGGTCAAGAAAGTGCTAATTACTCGATAAAACAAGAGCATCTCGAGCATTTCAACTGTTCATTTTTGTCTTATTTTTCCTGCGATCACTTCAAATGCTGAGATTTTGATTTGAATGTAATTAGTTGAAGAAAAAGATTCAAAGTTGTGTTTGTTTATTGTTTTATATTTTACATTGTATTATCATCGTATAAATTCAGAGTTGACTTTCATTTACCCTGTGACAGGAGATGAACTTGTCTGACTGAATAATTTTGTACA